TTCAATGTGTGATGTATGGCTTATGGCTTATGCTAGGGCTAATGCTATCTCGTACAGAAACCGAGGGTGCCCTTTGGAGTGTTGCACATTTTGGTCAATTGACGCAAACCGCCCTGGGCATAATTGTCATCTAGACACACAGCATTCCTACTGATTTCTTCTTCCCAAGAAATCCTCAAGAAGGTGCACCCTCTACGTCCACCACCATCGCCTCAAGTATCGAAACCCTCAACGTTCCTGTGTTCCAACCCTGTGAGGACCTGAGCTTCGACCGGATCGTCTCCTCTCCTTCCACCGCCTGCTGGGAGACAGCCCAAGTCCTCGCTGAGCACTTCGGGAGTCAAGGGAGCAACGGTGCTGCATCGATGTCGGTGGTAGCGGATGAGGAGCTGGAGCTTTTACCCGGAGAGCTGGATGATGCTGGTGGAGTTTCAGCGGAGGCGGGCTGTGAAATGCGAGTGTTTGTGGTGTTTCCCTGCAGGTCTATGACATCTGTGACCTCATTGGAACTGGTCACACAAAAACACTACTCAAGGAGGTCAAAGACCAGGTTATACTGGGTCTTTGGAATTGTGGTGGTTGTGACTGGGTGGTTCATGTGTCATGTGTCATCCCCAGCACGACTTCCGGAGGAGGCCCTGTTAGATTGGGAGCCGTAAAAGTTCCAAGGCTCAACTCTTTAACCGATGTTTGCAGACCCTTAATTAAGTCATAATATGCAACATGTCCTTGTTGCTCCATGGAACTTCCGCTTCTTCGGCATCACTTCCGCTGGGGAGCAGAATGGCGAGATCACACCTGAAACGATGACGTTGTGGATCTTGTGCACTCAGGAGCTCCATCTGCTAGTGGCCGCAGCCATGGGTGGCAGGTGTTTGGATAGTCCACTCCACAAGAGTCCCTCAGAATGTTGACAGTTGATTGGAATTCATCATTGGGATCCATCATAATCCAGCCCATTCAGATGGTAGAACCTCTCCACGTGGGCATGTTTAAAACACAACAGCTACAGGAAGGCACCAAGAGATGGTCTAGTCGTGAGCATGTTGGTCTTGAACCGCATGTTTTCCAGGCACGAAGACGCTTTGCAGCAGCATTCCTGCACCAGCTTGAGCAGTTGAATTCGCTCGAGGGAGGTGTGCAGGGTCACTCAGCTGCAGTGGCAAGGTTGAACCATAGTTGAACCGTATATGTCAATGGCACCAGGTGCATAAGTTGGTTTGACCACAGACAGAATCATCACGGCTAGGGTTTTTTTTCTGCTCGAGCGAATCTTCGAGGCCATCCCTCACCCATGAAGCGGAATCCTCGACCTAGGGTTCGCCCATGCGAATGGTCAAGAACTTCGGAATGGATCATGCGAAAGCCCTCGACCGACACCATCCGACTGCGGTATGTCGTTCTTCCTGATCCCCCAAGAGGTCGACAGTCGTGCCGACTCCGTGTGACACTCCTGCAGCAACCACTGTACAGTACACGAAAGGGTATTGTGTTGCAGTAGGATAATAGGGCTCAGAGCCGTTCGTTTCCGTACAGTCATGATGTGGTTTATGTCTCCTTAAAGTACACCTTTAAGTGTTGGAATGTTTTTGAAGAGAGGTGCATCTGCAGGATGTCTCTTGGTCACTCACTGCCACTATCTCCAAGCCTCCGCCTGCGCTTTGCCTGCCTTGCGGCACCGGCCCATCCACACCACGCGCGGCGCCGCGTGCCTGGTGGCGCTGCGCATGCCCTCGGGGGGAGCGTGGGAGGCCTGGCTGCGGGGAGTGGGGAGCGCACAGCTTGGCTCGAGCCACGAGTTGGTGCCTTGGCTCAGCTTTGGCGAGACGATACGCACAACGTCCCAAAAAGACCTGGGATTTCAGTGACTTTTTGAACATGAGGAGATCCCCGTCAAATTTTTGTTGGTGGATATTGTTTCGCAAGGGTGGGCAAAGAGGTGCATAGTTTGGTTGGCCTTGGCCTTGGACTAGATACTGTATTCTCAAATAATTACTAATAAATATACTAAAAATTAAAAGAGTTTGGTAGGTCTCCACTTCCAAAACTGCCGTTAACATGCCTTTATTTTTCAGCTTCGACCGAGGCCAGCGCCTTGGCAGCGCTTCCACCCCTGGAGACCTGCCGTGCGACCTCGGCGCTGCGCAGCTCCTCCAGCGTTTCGAGCCTCAGCAGCTCGGGCGGCAGCGTGGCCTCCACCGCCATGGTGGCAGCAGCCGAGAACGAAGGCTTCGAGCCGCTCGGCCGGGAGCGTCGGCGTGTCGTCAGTGAACCTCGCCGCTTTTCCCCTCGTCGTCGTTTGAGTGGGGGGGCATTTGGAGGGCTTCAAGTTGGAGGATGACTATGGCTGAAGGTCGGACGGTGGTTTTGTGGGAGGGAGGGTGTTTACCCAGGAGATCGGTCACAACATCTCTATGTCATGTTGGTTGTGTGCCGGTTGTGCGGCCCTACAACCGACATTGGAACAATCTGGGGCCCCACAACAGAACCCCCGGAACTTCACATCATGTATAGAGCGTAGATGTCCAATGTCTATGTCATCTTGGTTCTTTGGTGGATTAAGACCCTGGAGCACCACGGAACCCCCGAGGTTGGACATCGTGCAGATGGTCAGATGTCCAATCTGTCTTCAGCCCAGCATCCAACCATGTCCAAGATCAACCCTAAGTCCAGTCTGACCCAGTAAAACCTGGTGTTTAAAGTCCTTGAGTAGAGTCTTTTTTTGACCAACTCCAGCAAAATGAGGTACTCACTGTAGGTCGACCAGGGCATATTCTTGTCACCTCTCAATCTCCTTCGCCCAGGAAATACCCCGCGATGACTTGAAGCCGCCCACGGTCCCCTGCGGACCCCACCATGCAATCGCCCGGAGCACCGGGAGTCGTCGTCGTAGACCCTGCAGAGCCGCGGTACGACTGGGACGTACCGCAGGAGCCACCGTCTGATCCGCGGACGTACGAGCGGTGGAAGAAGGAAGACCGGAGGTACCGCAAGGAGACTTCGGCAGCCAGGACGCTCCTTCAGGCACCGGACCATGGAGCTTAGAAGCCATGTCCTCGGTGAGGCGAATCCAAAACAAGCTCTGGGATGTGGAACATGCCCCAGGCACGGAGCTGAGCAGCCGACAGGCTGCTGAAAGCGTGGGCGAGAATTTTTCAAAGCCGGCCTGAGAAATGCGAAGGGCAGCGAGTGAAGGGCAGGATACTCAATACTCCTCCGTCCACAGCGAAGGTGGCAGCTGTCACGGCACTGGGCGTAGTTTCGGCATTATCATTTACAGCTCAAATGACAAAAGCACACGGTGGCTTTGCTGTGCTGCCGTGCTCGGGTGTTCGGTCCTAACTGTGTGTTGCACTAGCTCCGATTCTTTTTGTGTTGCACTGAAATCACTGACCTGCTATGACCTGCCCAGTATAACAATAAGCACTGGCCATGTTGATGCTTTTGGCTCAAGAAATGAGCCCGTGGCTTCCCAAACGATAGGTGAAAAAGCCTGCAGATGAGTTCTCCATATCGGTATAGGCTATAGGTCAATTGGCAACCTTCGACGGTCATCACTCGGCAGGAAGACTCCATGACAGCCACAAGCAGAGTTGATCAAACAGGTGTATTATTATATCTAGGATATGAATGGATATGATATGCGTTTAAATCAGGATGACGTAAAGCTTAAACATCCGGCAGGTCTCAAAACATGTTTTAAACAAATCAAGACACCAGATACATGGCCCGGACTTGTTCTTTGTGTGTGGCCTGCCAGCTTCATGCAGCGGTGGCCGGTTGGTTTTAAGATCAACCACCGCCGGCGACAGGACATGCATAGCTCCTTTGGAACTGACCGCTGATCTCCGACTTGTTGGTTGTCATTGTTGCCAAGAAGGGCAGGGAAAGGAGCCAGAGCACCATCCACCAGCTACCACGGGGTCACGCGGGGTCACGCGGTGAACGGTGAACCGTCTCGAACGACGAGAGACGTTTTCTTGCACCCACCCGGATAGAAGAACATGGTTTTCCGCACTCAACTTCCTGCTTTGTTAGCTTAGAGACAAGGTGGGATAGGCGGATAGGCAATGTTAGCCACCAGTGATGATTTAGGGACACGCAAAACCTACTTTGCTTTGGACACTTCCGCGCGCAAGCGCATGGGCTCCATGGGAGATGGCTGAAGAGGGGAGCTGGCTTCTGACCAATCCAGAAGCAGGAGCACTGTCTCGGCTTGGAAGAAGCGTTGGTGAACTACCAGGGATCCACCACTGTTGAAGGAAGACAGTTATATGAAGCCTTTGTCCTCATCCTCCCTCCGTTCCTGACGCCGTCGTGCTTGCCACATCACCCGATCGAAGATCCGTGGGGAAGGCCAGTTGGAACTTTGGGGCAGCCCCTCAGAGAGATCTTCGAAGATCCACTTGTAACAGTCCCCAGGGATCCAAGTACCTTCTCGGGTACGGCGATTGGAGACACTCTTATGTGGGTTTTGAGGGTCCAAGTACCTTCTGAGGAGGTACTTGGATCCCTAGGGAGTACTGGTATGGATGCACCAGGAGTCACAGTACTGGTTGGGGTGCCTTTCACGAACTTGTCGGAAGTCCCCGTGAGTGGGTCCCCGTCATCCACTCACTTGGGGACACAAAAAACAGTGCAAGCAGTTTCAATAGTCAAACTCATATTCTCTCTGGAACTGACACGGAAGTGAAGTTTACCACCTGTTTGTAGTGGAAACTGGTCTTCCTTACGGCGCCATGCCATCCACGTAACCATGTTAGCTCCAGGGAGTGTAGATGGCTGCTCTCCATGTCCTTTTCAACCGGTGGATCTTTTTACACTACCAACCGGGTTGACCAAAGCCTGGTAGAGCCTGGTTCAACTTGGGCCATCTTAGGCCCGGGGAGATTCCACGAAACATCTGAATCTACCAGAGCCCCTCAGAGGGTGGTGAATGGAGACCCCAAATCACCTCTCACCTCTAAGGCGCTATAGAAGAAATATAGGCAGTATAATGCAGTGTGTATATATATATACGTCCTTTTTTGTGGTGGGGTTTCGAGGCTCATGTGGTAGACGGTAGACGTTTGAACTGAAAAACCGTTGCTTTTGTTCCTCTTTGGGACCTTTGCTAGGACGTATCATCCAACGTCAGCATCCAACCTCAGGAGCTCCGACCGCCCGTGAGCGGCTGTGCGAATGGGCTTGGGCGGTGAAGCACTGGTGGTGGGAGATTACGGACCCCGCCGCTCGGAGACCTGCACTGGTGAGTGAGTGAGTCGGGACGCGCGAGGCACTCCCGTGTTCTGCGCAGGAAAGGCTGGCTTGTGGTGTTTTTTTGTGTTGCGATCCCCTCCAAGAAAGGATTTCATTTTGTATAGGTTATATATATATAATATTGTTTTTTGCAGACCAGAAGCGGTAGCCGCGGGGGGTGGAGTGGTGTAGATTGTAGAAACGCAGGTTTTTGTGAGGGTAGTGATTTAGCAAATGCAAAATAGCTCCTGAAAACAATAGACAAACCAAAAAAACAACAACAAAAAAACAACAAGTTCAGACCCAAAGGACAAAAAGAAATCAGACCCAAAGGACAAACCAAAAAAAAAGTTCAGACTTATGTCTCCTGTCCAGCCTCTCCTGGGTCCCTCTCCATGGGTCTGAACTTTTTGTTATTTTTTTGGCTGGTCTGTCAAAAAGCGACAAAGAAACAATTCTAAGTTGAGCCTAATTGAATTCTATATATAGTTGAATTCAAACTGAGTTTGCAAATTAATTCTACTGTAGTTCAATTCTAATTGAATGTAATTCCCAATTCAATTCTAAGTCAATACTGTTCTACTAATCAAGCTCTAGGTTAAATAACCCTAATTCAATTCTACCTTAGTTCCAAGTCAATTTCACTTCAAGTAACGGATTTCGATTCAATATTATCATCAGAATGGCCGAAGTTCTTCTACAAGCCACTATTGTGCGGTCAAGTTTGTGTGGATACCTGAGAGTTCAGCGATCAGCCACAGAACACCGAAAACGACACCGGCCACAGAACACGGGAGTCGGTCCGCGACCGGAGGACCGGTCCGTGCAGGTGATTCTCAGCAGCCCTTGGCTTTGCCCCACTACTGGGCGCACCCTGCGAGTCCTCTGGGTCCTTGCTCAGTTCTTGGGTTGGCACCCTGGCGAGCACCGGGATCCGGATCCGGGATGGCTGCCTTCAACAAGACCACGTGAGAGGTAGAGTTGGTAGAGAGTCCTGTAGGGTGGTTACTTGAGCCAGAGCAATTGTTTTTTTGACGATTTTGGACCTAGGGCCTTGAGCGGGAGCAGGGAGTGCGGATACCGGTGCCTTATGTCCAATGGAAAATTGAGTCTTAGAAGACTAGCTTTAGTCCCCAAACTTGCTGAACTAGCACATGCTGAGATTCAACATGGTTCAACTGCAAAGGTTGGTTCTGGGTCAATCCACAGGTAAAGGTCCCGGTGATGGTAGTTACCTGGTAAGTTGGTAGGGCAAAGATGCATCAATGCAATGCCAGCTTCCCCTTTATACACTTACGTCCTCAACTGTGAATGCAAAGGTGAACAACTATGTGTAGCAGGGGTGTTCAGGTTCCCATGATTTTCCATGTTCAGAATTACTTTCTGTTTGTTGTCAGAGTTGCCGTGTGTGTTTATCTTTATGTTCCAGCAATGTTCCATATGTTTTCCTAGACGAGCGGATGCATGCAGACGTGCCGTACAAGTAAAAACGTCGTTGACACGTTTCTCCTCCCAGCCAGGCCCGTGCCGACCCTGTTTCTCCGGTCGAACATCGGGAGGTCCTACCTCATCTTCCGGCATCAAGGCTGGAAGGAAGCGCTGGAGGGCCCCTTGAGGCGGAGAGCCGGCCGATCGTCCGAATTGAGATCCACGGCACAAGCTCCCCCGCTCCGATTGGGGAGCAGAACTAGTAGTAGTTCTGATATCATCCGTGTTTGGGACCATATATGACATCATGCCGCGCACGTCCGTTTTAAGGCCCTATGATTAGATGCAGCGTCACGCTTAATCGTCACCAACCCCGGGGATCAAGCTGGATCAACCTAAGGATGCCGGGACTTCCAATCAACGAACCAAGAGCCTTGATTCAGTGGATTCTTGCACTTGCAAAGTGGCTTTCGTTGCAGCTTCCTTCAGCATCAACGACCCACACCAGTGGGATCAACCGTAGTGGACCGGTGACCCGCGCTGTTTCAGTGAGGATGTTTGACTTGAAAATATCCATGGTGTTCATGGATATGAATCATGTCATACTCGTATGATTCTCATGGGTTCTTGGATCAACTGCCTTTGGATCATGAAGGAGGTTTCTTCATCGCACATGATTTAACTGTGCAACGATTAATGTGATGTTTGGTCGCAAGCTGTTTGATCCATTGTTCCTTCAGCTTCTAAAAACAACCACGGCATGACGACCCCTTTTAATACGGCTCCTTCTTTCTCTCATACTCGACTCACCTTGATCCGACTCATGGGTTGAACCATTTGGTCCCGTCTCCCGCGTGGTTCGTTCAGGGTTACCCGGGCGCGGCGATGGCGGCGCGACTCTCGCGAGTCTCCGACTCTCCACCCTTCAGAGTCTACGTGGCAGGGTGGACTTTGCCATCTTGATCTTGCTCTTGCTGGGCACGGTCTTCACCACACTGGCGAAACGGGAGGGTGTCTTGGGGAGCATTTGCCTTTGTTTGGGAGTGATGCAAAGCTTCGAGATTCTGGCCCATGCAGCTCGTCAGCGCTTGGACCTGGGACCCGAGGGGGCTCCCCAACCTTACAACCCGGTGGTTGTCGGGCGTGAAGCGGAACCTTCGTTCTCGGTGTGGGAGGCTGACAGGCTGAGGAACTCGGGTTTTTTCTGCTGTTTCTCTTCGGCTCCTGAGTCGAGATCTCAAAAAAATACGTGAAGTATAGGGCGTGGAAACATTCCACCAAACACCTTTCAATGCTTTTCACTGGGGCCGCATATGGCCGCAGTCAGCGATTTCAAACAACTGTGCGTCCTGGAATGATGAGTCATATTTGCAAGCAATCGGACACAGCACAATCGTTTCTTGTCTTCTACCAGGACCCTCCGACAGGTCATCTAGGTCTTGACCTAGGGCCTAACAAAGCCTCAACTCACCTACCCTCCTGGAGGGTGCTGGTATTTTGGTTCAAATGCCACGCGTCACTTCTCTGGACACCGGCGGGGCCGGCGGGACCCTGACCATCGGCTTTTGGGCTTTTCATATGCTGAAACACACGCAGCCAGGATGATGTAGGTCAGTGTAGGTGTGGGCACAGTTTCCAGA